GTGTGTGTGTGTGTGGAGAGAGAGAGAGAGAGAGAGAGAGAGGGAGAGTACAACTTAGTTTCTCATTTGCTATGACCAATGCCATTTGTTTCTCTCCGATGTTGAGTTAGATGGCTGGGTAATGCCATTTTTTCGTCTTTAACTCCACTGGAATTGCTATGTGATGTGCTTCCTTCTTTGCCTCTCTTTGTTCTCTCTTTGAGATATTGTGTGTATGCTCATGACATGCAAATGCAGAGACATGAACACTGGTAGGTATGCAGCCATGAACATGTTTTTGTGAGTGAATATGTAAACGATAATATTAGATGTTCCATAGGAAATAGTTTCATTTCCATGTTCTGTAGGTTTTCTGAAGTGTTCATGTGCTGCAATTTTTTTCTATTCTTTGTCATTTTCTTGGATAAATTGGTGCCTCACTTTAATCCTCCAAATTTTATTTGGCTCTTTCTATGAACAGTTCCGCCGACCTATCAGCATTCCACCGGCTTCTTGCAGATCAGCCTAATATCCCAAGAGAGGAAGGTAAGTGAATGGCTTCAGAAAAAGCAATTGCCTATATTTTGCTTAGACAACTTGATTATCTAATCACTTTGTAAATTTATGGCTTTAACAAAATTTCGTCAACTGTTAGGAAAACCTGATGATCTCATCTTTTTACATGGTTTTCATGAACTGTGGGAGAACCCGTATTTTCTGTTTCTGATCTGTGTTTGTTTATGTGCAGTAAAATTCATCTTCAACATCATATTTGCAGAAGAGATCAGCTGAGTAATGCTGATTTTCTGGTCGCTGGTTCCTTGACATAATTCGGTGTCCCAGGGTTTTCTCGCATTACGCCGAACAGGGCATAGCGAAGAATTATCAGAATGAGTTGGAATTCTCTAACGCTGTAACTCTAGCACTTGCACCTACTGGTTGCTACATTGATGCCTCACAACGTGAGCTGCTCCTGGTTGTTCTCAGTAACTAGAATCAGTTGTGGCAGGAGGGACTTTAGAGAGAGAGGAGGTGGGAGGGTAAGGTGGGGCTGGGGGTATCGGGGGTCAGATGAGGGAGATGGATATGCTAAAATGAAGGAAAAAAGAGAAAAAGTGTAGTGTAATAAGATTATATTATGGTTTTACTTTGTTATTCCAAATAATATTTGAGGTGGGAACAGAAGAAGTTTTCTTTTATTTTTTGAACTGTGAGGTGGGAACAAAAGAATTACGGATTGGCTGGTTTCATTTGCTTTTATGTGGGGAAGTAGTAGGGTGGTCAGGTCAGGTTGGACGGACCCAGATTAGAAAAGCTATTATGGGACTTGGACCCGACTGGACTTGGACTCATCGGATTGGGACCTGAAAATATAATGTGGGACCCAGACCCGACCCAACCCAATCCAAAAATTAAAATATCTATATAGTCAAATATATTGCATAAATTGCGACTTGAAATATAATGCGGGACCGGACCCGGATCTAGACCCAATAGTGTTTGGGGTCCAAATTGGATCCTGACCCGTCGGGTCCAATTTTGGACCCATACCCAGACCTGGATTGGGTCTACCCATGGGTCCAATTTTTGGATTGGGTCTACCCATGGGTCGAAAAGTTATGGAGCGCCAAATAGAGGAAGGCCTCCTGCTTCCATCACCTTAGACAACGGCTGCCAGGCCCGATATGTTGTCCAAAAGGGAGGGGAAGGAGGGATCTTGGGTTGGAAAGGGGGATAGGATTGGGAATATAACAATGATGGTCTTCTTGGGAGGGAGATTGAGGTGCTCCTTTTACCATTTCATTAGTCTTATTAAATAAATTCTGAATATGGGTCATTCAGAAATGCACCACTTTTCATGGTATATGTTTGACCACAAAAATGTCCTTACAAATAAAAAAGAATTGCATTAACAATATCTTATTAAATTTTGAAAAGGGCATTTTTATAATTTTAAGTTATTTCTTAAAAAAGTCATTTTAAAAAGTAAGAAGAATTATTTCAATTTTGAAATTCCCTTTTGGAAGGATTTTGAGATGATAAAAATACCATTCTTAAAATCGATAAATTATTCATAATCACAAGTAATTCTTGAAAATACTTTCATGGTAAAAAATGTTGGAGTAGTTACTTACCAAAATCACTTTGACTCAGTGAGTAGAATTGGCACTAGAATTGTGGAAGGGTTTGGTTCAATCAAAGTTTAGTTTGATCTTAAGTTGTAGTGGTCGATCTAAATATTAAAAAGAGTAGGAAAAAATAGAAATAATAATTTTAAGATTGGATTGTATACAATGAGATCATTTACCTTTGATACAAGGTGGTGACAATTATTTACAACCATCCGATGTGAAGTTTTAGAGCTTGGATGTATAACAAAGTTTGAAAAAACTTCTTTTGAAGGTTGAGTTTGATCAATGGAATAATTGCAGTCACTCAATTTTACATCCAGTGGTAAATATTAATGTCTCATCTTGTACCAAAGGTAAATGGTCTCATTCTATATTTTCTTTTTAAAATATAGAATCTATTATCGAAGGAGTTGCTAAATTTTGTTAGTCAATCCAATTAGTCAAAATCAACTGATCGGACTTGGCTCAACTGCTTAGATATTGTATTTTAGCCAATTTTTAACCAAATCTAGTTTTTGCTTTGAATTTGATTGGTTAAGGAATTGGTTGGTAATTCATTAGTTGGACCAAACATGCATACTAGTTTTGCTACAGTTGTTCTAACCCTCTAACGAAGGGATCAACCTTAAAAATAAAATCTATCCAAAAAAGTTATTTTGATCCCAAAAAAACTCTCAAATTGACTATGTATGAATATGAAAAGAAAAACAAAAGACATTCAAGTTCTATAAATGTTGTATCTCCTAAATCTGGAATGTCGATTTTTAAGCGCTCATTGGTATGCTCAATCTGCTTTATTTTTTGAGCATTTAAATTTTATACTTAGACTGGAAATAGGCTTCTGGGCCAAGGTTTTCCGCACAACCATAGAAATTAGCATTTATCATCCCCTATATTTCCCATCCGCCCAGTATATTTTTGAAAAAAAAAAAACCGTCTGTGAAGTATATGCAGTAGGATTTGGATTCAAACAAATTGCTAGCATCTTTTCAACCATCCAAAGCCGACAATAGAGGGTTGTGGCATGCGGTTCGTGTGCTCAAGGTCGGCCAATCGATTTGGAAAATCCTCACAATAGTAACACCCCTCCTCAATTCATACGCATGTTTCATGGTTCGGAAGTGTTAAAAATTACAAGCATCAAGACTATTCTCACTGGGTGTCTTGGTTGGTTTGGTCCTAACAAAAACTAGAGTTGATGAAAATTATTGGAGATGAGCATTTTGACTGGTTTGTGACTGATCACACTGGTTGCTTTTGACTTCTAAGAGTGGTTGGAAAAAGTTTGATCCTTTTTTCAACAATATAGATCATGATTTTAAATTATTATTCTTATCAACTGATAATCCGACCGACTTTAGCTTGTCCAAACCTTTCATTGGTGGCCACAAGGCTAAAAGGCCGGGTTTTAAAAAATGGTGATACAAATCGGAATAGCTCTATCTAGATTAGGAAGTGGTGGAGTCGAACATGTCCTTATTACATATCGAGAACTAGACGATTATGATAGGAAAACGGCCAATTTGGCCCCTCCATTTTTGCTCTATTATCTTTTTTGATTTTTTAGTTTTTCCATTTTGAAATGATTTTTTGCCTGGTTCTCTTAGTTGGACCATTGATCCAAATCACTAATCCATTGGTCCACAACAATTTTTGGGATTAACAATCTAGGTCATTGAACCATGGTTTTAAACATTGCTAAACAATGTTTGAAATTCAAATGATACAAGTATTTCAATTTGGAAATGTATATGACGATACCATTTATCTTTAATACAAGAAGGTCACAAGTATTATCAACTGTTGGATGTGAAATCAAATAGGTGGTGATGTGTCACTACTTGAGCACAAAATCCAAAACAAAATTTCTTGAAAGCTAGATACAATTTTAGAGAAATTATCATAAATATATTTAATTTTCGCCTATTTAGAAAACAAACCCCAACTTTCATAAACCTTGGCCAAACATTTTTTCTTCAATTTTGATTGTTTTGTGACCAAAATAACCTTCACGGTAAGATGATTACTGTAATAATTTGAATTGATATTGCGGTACTTTTAATACCATAAAGCCTAAGCCATAGTATACAGCACTTAAAGTAGCATAATTTACAATTAAACTACGCTACTTTAAATACCATAATTTAAAATTAAATTACGCTTCTTTAAATACTGTAAAACCTAAGCCATATTATGTGGTATTTTAACTACAATATAAAATGCCTAGTTTCACTGTATTTAGGTGGTATCTATCATGTCTAGAGATAGATATCCATATTGATATGTTTATCCATAACAGAAGGTTTATTCATATGTAACTATTAATCTTTAACTCTTATTGGGGATAAATTCATCAGATAAATACCAAATCTTATCATAATATATGAATACCAATATGTAACTATTTATCTTTAACTCTTATTGGGGATAAATACATCAGATAAATACCAAATCTTAACAATATGAACACCAATAACGTTATCAATATATATCTCTACATATAGATATCCATATTGATATGTATCTAATGTATATCCATATGGTAGTTAAAATACTCTATAATATGGTTTGGGCTTTACGATATTTAAAGTATCATAATTTATTAAATTACGGTACTTTAAATACCGTATAATATGGTTTAGGGTTTACGGTGTTTAAATTACCGTAATATCAATTCAAGTTATTATATGGAGTTTAGTTGTATTACTGTGAAAGTTATTTTGATCACAAAACCACTAAAATTGAAAAAAAGAAAAAGGTGGGGACGAATTTCATGAGAGTTAGGGTTTTTTTTTTTAAATTGACTTACATTCTAATACGTTAGTTTTGACATCCAATGACTAAGAAAATTTGGGACCTTCTTGTATCTAATTAGTATAAACGAGCGCACTAATATTTCCAACGTAGTCTTGAAGTATAGTCAATCATACGTGCTCCATGTTCGACGAGTACGAATATGCCTGCGAGTTCCGTTGAAGAAATACGAAGAAGCAAGCTTGACTCTATTCCTGCAACTAAAGCTGCTCTCTTTCAATTCATTTTGTCCTAACCCTAACCCTAACCCGAACCCTAATCCTAATCCTAATCCCACTGGCCTTATTTGATTTGAAGGAGAATTTGTAACATTTGCGGTGAACGAGATTTCATCTTTCCAAATCCCCTTCACGTTTATGATGCATGGCGATTCCTGACTCTAATTTTAATTGCGGCCGTTTTTCTTTCTTTGATTGTGATTAATGGCTCGAAATGTTTGCGATTTCCGGATCCTTCTCCTGGTAGCTGCTGCTGCCTTCATTTTTATCCAGGTAGTCTTTTTCGGTTTTTTTTTTTTAAATATGTTTTCTTATTCGATGCTTATTCTGAGTAATTCGATTCCTGAGTGGTGTAGATATTGTGATGCTTTGTACGATTTTAGAATCAGCAAATGGACGTGCTCTTTTTTGTAATTGTCTGTTGATATCATTTTGTTTTTCAATTTTTTGAAGTCAATTTATTTGATTGATCTAGTAGTTGAGTAAGCTAATTAAATTTGTGACTGGTGATTCTCAAATCTCATAATTAGAAGTTTATTCATGATCGTGAAGAGTGAAATCAGTTACTATGGACCAATAAAGAAACGGTTCAATTTATGAGCCCAATTAAATACTCGATCAACCTTTTAATTAGTTATATTGATGGCTCAGCTAAAAAGAGTTTGGCTTGCTATGTTCATTTCTTTAAAGAACGTTATTTTTTCTAATGTGTTCAAGTCACTGCGTGCATGCATATGTGCATGTGTGGATGAACCCTGCATAGATGAGTTCATTTAATGGCTATATCTGGCTCAGGAGAACTTTAACTTCCATGGTTTACACTTAAAAATGAGGTTAGGGTTCAAAAAATAGTACATTATTCAGCATTTTATCTGAATTCAAAACTACCAGGCTCTTCCCTTCATGTATGTCTATCAACATTGCTTGCACAGATAAACATGTTATCTCAAAATTACCAACCCTTTCCTTAGCCAAGTCAGCTTGCCCGATCACCACGTAACCAACTCTGCAGCTCACCATGTCAAACCTAAGACACAGGTCTACAAAACTTGGTTGTCATGTATTTACCCAAGCTCATTCAACCTTCAAAACAAGGCATTTGAGGATTTTGATTAATTAAGAAACGGAGAGTTCAAATGTACCCTTGTCCAAAGCCAACCATGACAATAACTACCCCAAAAAACACTATTTTTTGAGAATGAAATAAGAGACGATTACCCTGGGGAATTCAAAAAATACAATGACAACTAGTTGAATGATTAGGTGCTCTAAATTGTGGTTTAGAAACTTGAACTCGGTGGCGAATTTGTGTACTTCTAAAACCAAGTTCAAGTTGAACAGTGAACTTGGAGCTCAAGTTTCCCATGTTCTATAAAAAGCTTAGGAAAAAAGTAACATGTCTTGGTGGGATTTGATAATGGTTTCCCAACAAAGCAAACACCATACCACTTCACCAAATGACATCCATGTAACCAAGCAACACAACAGTAGTATATATTGCTAATAATTTGGGCAAATCCAATTTTGTTTAATTATAAAACAAGGTAAGTATGGCACTTTGAGTTGACTCGATGAGTTTTTCTAAGTCAAGTCGAGTTTTGAATCACTGCTCTGAACTATTGTGTTAGTATGACTTGTTTGTCAATTAATTTTTTTGATCTTCATAAGAGACTTGATTTATGCAATTTCTAAATGTTATATTACTTACGAGTGCAAATAGAATATGATGCTCACAACTTGTGTAATATTTAGTAGTGAAGGAGAAGTGTAATTCTTATTCGAAAAAAACAGTTTACCAACGCTTTCGAACGCCACACGATCAAGACACTTATAGCAAAAAAAAAAAGAAAAGGGTTGTGCAGATTTTCTTTGTGCAGATTTGATAACCATATTTTACTTTGAGCAACCTTTGTGTTGATCTCCTTAACAATATCTTTGGTTTTCCTTTATAAAGAAAAGAGTTTTTTATGTTTCCTTGCATTCAGTTGTCCTAACATCATATTTTTGTCTTATATTTTTATTGTTGCAATTGTCAGCTGCGCCTTTTCCATACACAGTCCAAATATGCAGAGCAACTTGCTAGTGCAGTATGTACCTACCATCACTTACTGACAATAGATGGAATTTGAACTATGAATATAGCTAAAGAGTTCATCTTGCTGCTTACTTTATTCACATTTACGTGTTGTATTTCATGTCAATAGTTGGATGTTTTTGATGTTCTTGAGGAATCTATCTTGGGCTTGATTGGTTAGCTGTTGTGACATTACGTCCCAAAGTTCGATTATCTGCTGAACTACCTAAAAAACAAAAATTAAAATGATAGTCGGATCTTCTTTTTGTCAAGCTGTTATCACTTGGTGTGTACTGGTTGGATCTTGATTGAATCTTTTCAGGAACATATCATACTTACTAGTTACATGTAATGCTCACAACTTAACAGTGGGGTACGGATATATGGGATCTATTGATATAATCATAATTATTTGACAAGAATATGATATTATTATGTTTGCCTCCATCATAGAAAGAATGATACTGGTAATTGTAGCTTTGCTGGAAATGAAGGTAATTTTGGAAAGCAAGAGTTTTCAAGAAGCAAATAGCCCAAGTCATAATTTGTTAGTGTGTTAATAGTGCTTCTTTTGCTTCTGGTTCTTTAGTAGTAGAAAGGGTGAGGATGGTATTCATATTAAGATAGGAGTTTAATTGATGATTTGACTTAGATATGTATTGTGTTCTTGGAATAATTTGATGCAACTTGCTTGAGAGATCAGTTTATGCTTAGACTCAATTGCCATAATCTTGTGCATTGGTTGGAGGTAGGAGTAGATATTCTACTCAGTGCTGCATGTGAATCTTGTGCATGGATTTTATGATGGTGTGGTACTTAAAGCTTGATTTTAGTTTGCCATTCACCTTCCTGCAAAACACCTTGTTTATCAGTTTTGTGCAATTCGTGCATTTCTTCCGCGCTTGTCTCTAAAATATCTCCCTTCAGGAAACTTTGATTTTTATTGCTTGTCTTTATGCAAATATTCAATTGTTTTGTGTGTTTCTTAAACATTATGCTATAACTGGAGCCTAAGAACTGCAGTACAAGCCCACTGCTTTTAACACATCTCATTGCTTATTATCATGCTGGAATAAAATATTCTTTGGCTCGTTTCTCATAAATATCTGCAATAGGTGGAATCCGAGAGCCATTGTACAAGTCAAATGAGGTTATTGATTGATCAAATAAGTATACAACAGGGGAAAATTGTGGCTCTGGACGGTGAGTTCTTGACTTTTTTTAATGAATAGGTATTGCTTATGTTTTTGTTATACAGATTATGGCATCCTTTCTTGCACTTGAGAAGAGCTATGTTATATACATGATATAGACCCTACTGGTAGAATCGTTATATACGCTGTTGCATTTGTATTTTTATCCTCATTTTATTTCGTTTTCAAGTTTATTCAAAAGATCAGCTGAATATATCTAAAAGCATGCATAGAATTTAGGTAGTTGTTGGGGCTAACTTAAGCTCAATTATTTGTTCATGCCTTTATGACATGAGAAACATAATGATGCATTATTTCCTTGAAGATCAGTTTGTTGACTCTATCTTAGAACCTAGAGAGACGGATTTGAGAAGTCATGGTTAATTGTTCTGGTCGACTAATATGTTGGACGTGCTTATTATTAGGTGTTCATTTTCATAAGAGTAAAAATTGAGAATATCTACTTAATTCTCATTGGATTGTCCTTTTAAATATGGAATGCTGCAAGAATCTCACATGTTTCATCCTTTCTCGCTTTCATTATGTAATGAAGTGCTAATTGTATCATTGTCTAAGTTCTTTCTTGATCTGCATACTTAATATGCTCTAATTATCATCAATACTTTCCAATGTAAGATTTTATGAATCTTTTTTTTTTTGACAGGTTGAGGATATCGAACTCATATATGTCTTTTTACTTCTGTTTTGGAGCCATGCTCTTCTAGTGTGCCACTTCAATCTTTAAAATTCTAGTGTCTCAGAGTAATTTTTGGATGGTTAATGACTGAGACTAACTTGGAACTTCATGATAGATATGCTATCCATTTTCTCTCTTAGATGTCAAATAACTCGTTGAAGGCAATATGCATTTGTAGTTTTGTGTTTGTGTTGCTTAGCATGGGCTTTATTTTGTTGGTAATATATATTTACTTTTATCAGTAAAGTGTGCTTTAGTTTTAAATTTATATATAAGGGGTATTTTAGTCATTTTCATGTGATCGGTTATTTTTTTGGTAGGATAGTTGTGAGATTCGAACTTTGGATGTAGTGTTTCAATCATCAACGCTCTGATCAATCAAACTTGTGCCTGAATCCCTCAGGAATATAGATTAAGTGCCAATGGGTCCTATCCAGAAAAGTATATTGCAATGTTGTTGTTTAATGGATAATAAAAGTAATCGAGTCCATCACTATTTCTATGAATTCCTAGCCATCCTTCCACATAGAATTATGGTGTTACTTCCATTGTAAGATATCTTAATGCATCAATCTTGTGGCTCCTCAATTTAGATTACCTTTAAGATTTTTCACTCAATAGGTGCGGCCCTTTATTGAGCAAGTGCCATGAAAGGATGGATCCCTGTAGGTCTTTTCATATCAATTGTAAAAGGTGTCAAGAGTGGCACTCCTTCATTGTGAGAAAACATTTCGTAAAAGGGGTTCTTTGAACCTCATCAAAATTTTAACCATTAGTAAAAATATAAGTCAAAATGTGTCCTTTCAAATGCAATGGTAGTTGTCTCTGCAAAACACTCGTTGTTAAGCATTTCAGTTTGTTATGTCTCCTTTGACTCTATGATTAGTTTGTTATGTGTCCTTAAGTCTGTCCAAGAATCATCTGTTTGACATGCATGACACTTTTTGTCCTTTCTATTGTTTGTTTATATTTTCCAAGAACTTGCAATTTGTCTATATAGCCATCACATGCAGCAGTCCATCCTGTAGATTAACATGTAAATAATTCTCGTAGTTATGTTCTTGTATTTGGTTTGATGTGAGAGTGGACCGCAATATATAGATAGAACAAGTAATAGAACTGCATGTAATGCATTGTTTAGTGGTCTGGTGGAAATATAAAAAATTAAAGGAAAGTATACAACAAACCAAAAAAAAGGAGTAAGTATGCCATATACTAATGGTGAGTTGTATGTGGGACACCACCGGGACATCCACCATCCTTCCCCAGATGAATTTCTATCAATGGGGAACTATAACTAATATCCTCTTGTCATTGGGAACAGATAGTGGATATCCCCGTGCTGTCTCATAAATGATACACTGCTGTTTTGTGCAGTACCTTGGGATCCTTTATTTTCTTTTTTTTTTTCTATGTTACTCATTTCCT